ATTTAAAATTATTTTTAACTATATGTTATACAGTGTACATTTAAATTTGCATTGTTATTTTACAAAAGAATTTTTCAAAATGTGCTTTATTAATATTATATTAATACTTGCACTATAAAAATATTTTAGGCAAATGTAATTCATGTAAATTATATTTTAAGAATAATTTGTAATATTTGTATATTATATATGTCACATTTTGAATATTCAATATTATACATAAATATATTGTATAATTTATAAAAATAAATTTATGCAATGCATAGCTTAATGACCATTACATTTTTATCTAGCTATGAATAAGGAAATACTGGAACAATTCAATATTTGTAAGATACTTTTTCCTGGTCATTAAAATTTTCTTATTTTATTTGAACTTAAAAGTTTACACTTATCCTTTAGCAAAACATATTAAAAAAGAACCTTATATTTGAAATTGTATTTAAATTTGGGTTGTTTTCAGCTGTCACTACCCAAACACCACGTGTGCTATTCCCTGAATTATGAACTATTATGAATGGGTAACTCGTATATAAAAAGTTAAACCTTTGTAGCGCCATTAATGATGCGTACCATAAGTAAACAAGAAAGAGAAAAATCTAACTGATAGATGAATAAGAATTTGAGCAACTTATATTCAACATATAACAACGTACTGACCTATAAAATACATTTATATATACACAATTGTACAGGCCTAGCGATTGTCTTGTTACACGTAATGATACTAGCGCTATGAGTGGTGTGTGCTGTAAGCTTACTACTAATCAAGTTTCCGCCCAAGAATGTTAGATTCAACCCTGAATAATAAGTATCAACGTCCCACGTCAAAGTATGACGGATCATATTAATTGTTCATATTTGTGATACGAAAACACCGAACAAAAATGTACTCGAAACGCTCACTTAAGACATTAAAGACGCATTTGCGTCTAGCAATCTATCGAATGCAACTTCTTGAAAAAAAGAAAACTGAACTTGCACAGAAAGCGCGAAAAGAAATTGCTGATTATATTGCAGCAGGAAAAGTTGAAAGAGCTAGAATCTGTGTAGAACACATCATTAGGGAAGATTACATGGTTGAGGCTATGGAACTGCTTGAAATGTATTGTGATCTTTTATTAGCACGCTTTGGACTTATCACGCAAATGAAGTAAGAATTACTTGAATAACGATTACAATACGACAACAGGCTTTTCATATTATGTTATTAGGATCGTATCATTTATGTTTCTTTTTGTTACAGAGAATTAGATGAAGGCCTAGCAGAAGCTATCTCTACAATAATTTGGGCAGCTCCTAGAATTCAGACTGATGTCCGAGAAATGAAGGTTATTGCTGATATGTTTGCCGTGAAATATGGCAAACAATATACAGATGCATGTAGAGAAGAAGCTGTGCATACTATTTCTGAAAAATTGAAACAGAAGATGAGCGTACAATCGCCATCTAAACTTCTTGTTGAGAAGTATCTTGTAGAAATCGCAAAGAATTACAATGTTGAATTTGAGCCAGATCCACAGGTAGAAATGATGAATCAAGATGTATAATAGTGGTAATATATAATATGTAAATGTTTCAATTTCAATGTTGTAGGTAATAGCACAGGGACAAGAGGCATTGTTGATAGATATTGGAGGTAATGGAGAAGCTAGAAATAATTTAGATACAGCATCTGGAGGTGGTTTTCCACAACCAGTTGGATTTATTGGATTTCCACAACCTCCTTTGTTACCAGATCCTACAGCCAACTTCATGGTAAATAATATTCATTCGCAGAAAAATTTAATTTTTAAATAATATATAGTTAATTGTTCTGAAACAAAATTAATCTTTTACTATTTTATTTTCCTAGAATTCAGAGAAAGCACCTATCGGATTTATATCTCCTGCAGGTCCTTCAGAAAATAAAGCCCAAAATATTCCTCATAATATTCCTAATGTTTCTTACAATATTCCTTTGGATAACTCCAATGGAAACAAGCCTGTGAGTAATGATGACATCACTTCTATAAATAAATACTTCAAATATATAAGACCTCCAATGAATTTATTTCTTCTGAAAAATATTTTTTAACGGTACAATTTTAATTTGTTCAGGAAAATGATCTACCTCCACCTTATAGTTCATTTCCACCTGATTTAAACAAACAGGTTAAGTAACAATATATATTCTTATGAAAATGAGTAGTCTTACAATTAATTTTATTAAGTTTGTTATGATACTCTTTTATTTTAAAAGCAATTGTTTAAACGTACTTATAAATATCTTTTTATACTTTAATTTGTGATTCTTTATTACAGTCTGACCAGAAACCAAAACCACAACCAAGATCGAAAATGCCAATGAATGATTTTCAGCTTCCAGATTTGCCAGCTGTCCCATCAGAGAACGACTTACCTCCAAATAATTCGACTACTGCCGAAGATATTGATTTTGACGATTTAATGAAGCGATTCGAAGATTTAAAGAAAAGAAAATAGTATTTCGTGTTCATAAAGTTATATTGTATAAAATATGTATGTTATAATACATCATACATATGTACAACTGTAAAAATTAAAAAAAAAGCGTAGCTTTATCGTTGTATAGTATTTTACATTTTGAATAACTAAATAGCAGTGCTGGTAACAATTACTATAAAATATTCTTCAATATTAGCTTTAAAAGATATTCGTAAAACATTTTCTTCTTAGTATTTAGAGTAATTTTGAATTAATATCTTTCCGGTATTAATTCAATGCTTATGAAATGTAAATTGGAAAAAGATTAATAAAAAGAATTTCTAAAATGTATAAGAACTATAAATTAAAATATACTTGATTTAGCCAGAGCTTACTTTCAATGATTTAAGTATGCCTTGAAGCTATAAATTTCATAATGTGGTTCTATAATTTCGTCATGTGCATTATCAAAGCAATAGAATACATAAAATAACATACATTTGTAAAAATTGTAATATTAGATAAGTTTCGAAGAGATTTTGATATGTATCTTCTGTTAGTTTATGTTTAAATTTCTTCACATAAATATTGTAAAACATTTATATTCCACATTTGCGTACAATATTTCGTTAAAAAATTTCTGAAAATTATGTTGTATAAAAGTATTTAAATATTTGTACATGTACGCTTTGCGATAAAGTGTCTTCAAATTCCTTTTATTATTTTATGTTATAAAAAATTATAATTATCAATAATGTTCAACCCATTATTTATTTATTTAATATTCGTCACATTCCATTTTTTATTTTTTAAAATGTACAAGAAGAGTTTTACACTTCATCAATTTTCCCAATCTTCGCATTGCTGAAATAATAATAATAATAATAACAGTAACACGATATTACTTAAAAAAAAAGGTTGAAATAAAAAATATATTTCAATAATGTTAAAATTATCAATATCACATGAACTGTAATAAATACTAACTTGTTGACCTTTCTCAGCAAAACACTTCAAAAGATTTTGCGAAAATTCACACTTATCTTTCTTAATCGATTCAAGATATCGGAAACATTCTATCACCGATTCTTCAATAAAATCTTTTAATTCTGGATCGCGAACATCTTGATTCATCAATGGAATTACCAAATCTCTTTCAGGAAACCCTTTTTCGTCTACCTATTGTTTTTTAATTTATTTAAATTATATCTCATTTTGACGAAATAATTCGAGAAACAGCAAAAAATAGTTACAGTAATGTAAAATAAAGTAATTCAAGTAAATTTATGTTTCTCACTTATCATTGTCTATACTCACCGCGTTCATTTCATCGAAGAAACATTGTATAACGCACTAGAATAAAAAATAACTTTATTTCACGCAATTACCTAATACAACGTAATAAATTAAATAAAACGTTGAATACATTTTTTTTCTCAAATAATTCATAATTCCTCCAGATGAACAGGTACTTACCGCTTTGTCCCGATCGGTATTATTCCCATGGCGTGGATCGTCGCCGTTGTGATCGTCCTTTTTCATCTGAGAATCATTGAAATTCCAAAAATCCTGACTATCATTTTTACGATTACCTGTCGCGATTTGGAAATCTCTGTCCGAATTGTTGCTATCCGAACTATCGCTGTCCGAGGACGTGGAATCATCGTTTTCGGTACTTACAGCGGCGTGCCGTTTCAGACAGGTTTTAAATACCTTCTGATACTGCATATCCATTTGCTGGCTTCCCGTACGACATTTCAAACACTAAAAGAACAATGTTTAATTCTTGCTGGATTGTCAAAATTCGGATACGAGCGTATCGTTAATTAAAAAACTACAGTCATCGCAACAATTATGTTGTTATGAATAGCAATATTCGTTCTAAAACATCGAAGACATTCACACCTTATCTGTAGTAATTACTGAAGCAATAATTATCCAAGTAATAATTATTGAAGTACTCATTCTTGAAGGAGTAATTACAAAATTGACGTAACCGACATACTAATAGCACAGTGACAGTAACTTCATACTAGTAATCAGAACTGCATAGCAATACAAGTGACATTTAACGTAGTAGTAGATATACTATGTAAATACTGTATAATTACGTTGATGTCTATAATTCAGTTTCCAACGTTACGAACAGTAGTGCTACTGATAATAGTAGCTACAGATATAACCGTGCTGTCACCAACAACTATAATTGATCAACAGCAATAGTAATGATAGTGAATAATTGAAATACAATGTAACGTAAGTAACATTCCTATGGAAAAATTTTAAGTGAATTACCATCGTGTTTCGCGAATGTTGCGATTAGTAATAAATTCGACTTACTATTCCTGCATCGAAGCAAAACAAAATGATACAGTATAAAACGAGACAAACGAAATGCTTCATGATAAACACGCTTCCCCTGACTCCTCGTCGCATCGGCGTATGGTTTAATGAAAGCCGACCGGTGTTTCATCGCGTATAAATACAAAAGAAACAGGAAAGCAGTTTGACGTTAATTACTTGTCGCAATAACAACTGAAAAGAATCCGAGTTCACTGGACATTTACGACATTTTGATGGTACCGCGTATCCGGTTCCGATTATCCTGATTGTGTCGCGGTTCTCGTGTATCGAATTGCATAATCCTAATTCGTTTCGCCTCCGAATCATTTTTCATAGGACAGGAAGAAAGACATTTCAGGGTTCTGGATGGAAAACTCGATACCATAAAATGTTATTCGTATTTCAAGGCTCCGGACGAGAGACTCGATAATATGAGATGTTATTTGGATATTTCTGATTTTCGATGAATGTTATTTCAATGTGTTTCAGATGTTTGGATAGGACAGTCTCGATAATACACGATTTCCATCATTTATTTCGAAAGTTTTCAGTAATACAATACGCATGCTTTGATATAATTATTGTCGCACTATGTGTACTACGTGCGACAGTTTGTTCCTTTACTCAACGCTTTTAACGCTTTTAGAAAGGATAGATGAAGTCCAATCTATTGCCATCTCCAGCCATCGACACTCGATAAATAATATTAAGGTCTATTGTGGAAAAAGTGGATCGGTAGGGGAAATTGCCGAGAGAGAGAGAGAGAGGAAGTATGAAAGAAAGTTGACATAGTAAGTAATTCAATCGTCAGTCTCTTTTCTCTTCTTCGTCTCTGTATATTGGTAGCGCAGGATGCGTCCTGTATATCTCGTAAGTACAAGTCTCCTTTTAAAAATTCTTCGAATACTTGTGCGTGTCATTTATTTATCATTGATTATTTATTAACCGTTCGAGTGTTGAGGAGCGCTATAGCGCTCTTCTTGTGTTGTGCCAAAATTGCGAAGGCGCTTCTGTTTATCAGTATCAATTATAATTTTGTTACTGTATTCTTCAAGAAATAAATCAAAGTGAATTTATTCGAATAAATGTTATTTTTTGATATTTCTCCGTAATAACACAATATTTGCGATCTCATTAGATAAGTACTCTTATTAATTTTTTTGCATACACGCCCAATCACTTCCGCATTTTTGCTAAATATCCACAAAAGTTGTTTAACATCCAAACGGTTAATTATACAAAGTAATTCGCAGGGTTTCGAAAAGGAACGCGGATACCCAAAATTCATAATGCAGCGAATAAAATAATTGTCAGAAGGGATACGAAGATTCTTATATATTTTTTCGATAATTTCTCGTATACGTTCGATGTTATCACTTTAATTTCAATTTGTGTAACAATCATGATTTCGTCGGAAGATTTCCGGTAATGATATTTCTGTTCCCTTTTGATAATTTTTCATTCGAATCGAACATCCGAGTAAACTGCTGTAAACCTTCGCTGTCACGAGAGTCGCGATTTGCAAATGTATTTTTCTAATTACGTTCAGATACTGTTTTTCAATGTATTATAATGTAAATTGGCTACGGTGGAAGATCGAAGATAAAATTGTAAACAGCGAGTACAGCCTTTGTGAAAAAGCAATGGACCATGTGAGTGCGTGAAAGCGAGACTAGCCGAAAATCAGTCTGTAAAAGCAATTTGTTCTGCACGTTCTGCGTTGGTCCGCATTGGAGACTTAAGAATCTTGTTTTCTCTTTTTCAGTTATTAGCGAACGTTGCTTTCGTATTGGCGACTAACGATTCGAAGCTTGAAAATCATCGATTTTACCATAACGATCGAGCATCGTCAAATATCGAGAAAGAATCAAGAAAAAACGAAGCGGGCGACAAGGATCCAAGGAATGAAAATGGCGGATTCTTAAACCCATGGAGTTCGCTTAAAACAACAGACAGGGTGCAGTTTCAAATCGAAGGTCACGACGGACCGCAGACTTACGTTTTTGGATTTGACACTGGACGCGGGTAAATTTACAAATGAATTTATATCTACGTGAATGTTAGTTCATAAATGTTTGAAATGAAACGGTATGTTAGTTTTATAAAGTTATGATATTTATAATTTTACTTATCGAACTTAAATAACTGCTAACTTCAATGAAATATATTTAATTTACAGAGTTAAGGAATAGCATACACGTGCACGTATAGGATCGTAAAGCGTATTTATGCAAATTTTTAATTATGAATATATATATTCGATTCTTTCCAGGCAAAGTAGACAGTTTCGATTGGAAGAAAGGCATTCCGATGGTACTGTGAAAGGACAATATGGCTACTACGATGCAAAGGGCAAACTGAGAACAGTCCAGTATGTTGCTAGACCTTTCGAAGGTTATACAGAGAAGCATCACGAAAGTAACGTGCGAGCATTAAAAAATTAAGTAAACATCATTCGTCGTTCAGTTATTTAAATACAATCCACCAACTCCTGTTACACAATGGCAATGAATTTAAACTTTATTACTGATGTTCACGCACACGTTTGTAAACTTTTTATTGCTATCATTATATAACTATTACATCACTGTATATATAGGAGGAGGGGAGGGAGGAGAGAGAATAAAATTAATGTTAAATTATTTATTCAATAATATCAACAATTATACAAGAAAAATAAATGAAAAGATACAAATATGTCTGAATGTAAATATGAATACAATGGTAACAAAGAATTGGTTCTGCTGATACATATACATATGCATTTATGTATATGGGAATTTGTCATAAGCGTTACATTCATACCCATAACATCCGATTATAAAAATATTTTAATAAAAAAGTTACGGTAAAGTTAATACCTTAATAAAATTGTAACAGTCTTATTTAAATAATGAGCATTTATTGTTAAGTAATGGTATTTTTTTTTTATAAAATATATATATACGATCTTAAGTAAGTAGGATATAAACGAAGTTGCTTTTAGGCCTGAAGAACACGAGTGCTTTTTCACGTAAAATTTACCTATGCAACTATATAATAATAGGACGCGAACTGTTTCGATATTATAGAATTTATCGTATGAGGTACGTGACTGAACACATTTTCACGATGAAGGCAATATTCTACAATTAGATTGAATTGCATTTTTTTTTGCGTACTTACCGACATTTGTATTTTAAGGCAATTGATTACATGTAATATAAATGCGTTGACATGATCCAGCAAAAAATAAGCTCATTTATAGTCGACACGCAACTACAAAATATTCAATGTAATCGAAGAATGAAAATGCAGCTTGTAAGACGCTCGTGTATTTCAAGCCATACTTATGATAAAACAATTATGTTAAATACTCTATTCGAATTGGAATTTTATTTATTCCTCCGTACGATTTTCAAATCTTTATTTCCTTTTCGAAATCGTAATTTGTTAATTTATAAACTTTTATGTCTCATACTTCCTACACCGTTCAAGCCTTTCCAATACCAAATAAAGAGTTCTATAAAATCCTTAACGATTAAAGGTACCGAATTAGTAACAAAAAAATTATAAAAAAGTATAAATAATTGGTTCAATATTTTTATAATTGATACCACAAATGCATAGTATTTCCAAAGGTTCCTAAATAAATTTCATTTAAATACAAAAACCCATTTAAATACAAAGAATAGAATTATAACATACATCAATGATACAATGTACATTGTGTAGATTTAACAAAATGAGAAGGTACATCAACAATGGTAAAACTTAAACAGTTTCGCAAATCATTAAAAAAACATTGCGCACGAAGTGATTTGCACAAAGGAAAATCACATTGAGTACAATACGCGAAAAAGAAACTAGAGTTGAAGTTAATAATATTTTGTTCTGGAATTAACCTCCCAAAGATATATAAATTTGTCACGTATTTCTTTTTATTACTTTCTTCTTCCTTTTACTTGTTACAATTTTTTATCACCAGCACCATAAGATGAACTTTTGCTTATTTCAGACATTCCTATTGTTTTGTGCATAAGGAGGTAAACTAAAATTAAAGGAAAATAAATATTATATTGCAAAGGACAGAATTTTTACATGCTAAATAGAAAGTATAAAAATATGTTACTAAGATACTTACACAAAAATATAATACCCACACCAATAGAAAAGTAAACGGTTGATCCAGATAAAAATAGATTAACCAAATAATAGAGCATTGGTACTAAAACTACCACAGCCCAGAAAATTGTGTTTAAGACAGTGTAAGGTCTCCTTTTTATTTCAAAGCAATCTGTTCTGGGGACATCACTCGTGGCAAAGAAATCGCCAGTTTTTATGAAACTTTCGGCCATACGATCCTGAAGAAAAAGAAAGTTGTATTACTTTTACATTTACATATATTTGCGTTGCCTAACAAAGACAACTCGACATTATACCTTCTTTTGGTAAAGCATGTAAAGCCACTTTGCCGCAGCTTCATCATCCTCTGGAATTTCCTCTAACGGAATTCTGTTTATGTATAAGTGTGCTGTGACTCCTTTCCCCAACAATAAGTTTGTAATTGTCGGTTTCACTAGGTCGTTAGGTTTAAAATTTATTTGTACATCATAAACCGCGGGGATTTTACCTCGCATGTGCGGTATACTTGCAGTGAAACCTTTTGTTCTTGGAGTTAAATGATATTTTAACACTGGAAGACCCTTCTCGCGAGCAAACTTCTGACTGGCTTCTAGTTTCTTTGCTGTGAAACGTGTTCCTTCAGCATTTAGCAATAACTGAAACAATTTACGCCTAAGATAATAATTTGAAAGTAATACATTTAAAAATAAAAACGTCAATTTATGTATATAGAGAGTATTGGTACCCATATACTGTCAGGATAATCTGCAAGTTCGCTAATCTGAGAACCAATTATTTGTTTATCTTTATCCCAACTTCTTTCTAAGAATATACTTTCTGCAAATTTCCATGCCCAACCTAATGTTGGAATATACTGTATTGACTTTTTGGCATATGCTTTGCAATTCTGAAACACATATATTTTCAATAAAAAACCTACTTATTACTAAAATCTAAATATATCTTTTCAATTTACATATAATATGCCCATTACTTACACCAAGAACACCAAGTCGCTCGCAAAAACACCACCCAATAAGCCAGTCTATTTCATAGGTGTGATTCATTAATAAATATGCATGCTCTTTCCCATAGTATTTCTCAAAATCTATCTTATCTATATACAATACTACATCTGTCCCAGACCACCAATCTGTTACAAATACCAACTCTGAAAATTGAATTTAAATATAATTATACTTCCTATTCTTTGATTATATTTACTTTTATACATGGAGTAAATTCAAGATAATTATGATTTAAACTGGAAAAGAAAATGAATAAAAATTTGAGTATAAAACATTTCTAAAATGCAATTAAATAAATATAGTTATAGAAATAGTACATATGAAAGATAAAGTTAACTTACGGCTATAAAAAGAATAGCAGAGATAATAATTAATCTTCCGATAAAAATATCTGGAAAAGGGCCTAAGACCAAAGTATAAAAGGCATTGGAAGAAATTAATTATCAAACCCGATGTAAAAAATATGATAGCAAACATCAGGTGAATAACTGTGGACTGCTTTAAGCTTGACAGCATCTCCATTATAGTAAATTTTTTATGTGTGCGTTTAACAAAGCAAAAACATATGTATATATGATTTGCAGATCTTGAAATGTTTTGTGCCTGAAACAAACAATATCATTTCTAGATTACAGTGCATTTTACTTTTAAAAAATAAGAAAAATGCCAAATCTTATTTTTATTAAACAAAAGTATTTTGGAAACTTAAATGAAATTCTTCACAAAATAGTTGAATATACACTATATAATTATTCAAATCTAATGCAGTTAAAAATACATCCAAGTAATTTTTAAATTATAGGAGTCTAATTAATTTGAATGAACTTTGAATTAATATTTGCAATCTACTATAAAAGAAACTATTTACATGTAATATTTATATATTTTATAATAACAATATATGTCATTCTAATTTCAATGATTAATGTAGCTGAAAGAAAACAAACAACATATAAAAATAACTTAAATGAATTAAAAAATTTGTAATGCATATATATAATATATACAAAATTTGATAAGATTAAACAAAATATATTTTAATAAAAATGTGTCAAGCAGGTAAACAGATAAGCAGATAAATAAGTTGATTATTTTATTTTAAATATAAATGTTGTAACATTTATTATACAAGGGAATAGGAATAACGATTTACAAAATACAATAAGTTGAAATAATTATATATTTTATTAATTCATTATTTCCATCTCACTCCGTATCACTTGTATAAACACCAGTTCAAGAATGCATTATGTAATCCTTAATACATAACACTTAACATGAATATCATGAATTTTAAAGAAATTAATATAATTCCTTTTTTATAAGTATGCATGTATTAACATAAACTTGGGAAATTTCGTTAACAGTTACCTATATATCATAATTAAAGTCGAAAGATTTAAAACTGCTAATGCATTATTAATGCATTCAGCACATTATATTATTATTGATAGCGTTAAATAAATATCAAAACCTAACCTACTTACACTTGCAGAAAGTGTTTTAAAAAATTCATTTTCTAATGAAAAGTATTGTTACCAATTATTATTATAACTGTCACTGGTAATAAAATTAAATCATTTAAAAGAATAATCATTAATAATCAATTAATAATCATTTTACATTAAAAAAGAGATCTACATTAAAGTAGAACGGTTTAATAGTACACTGAAAATACAGTGAAACAAACTATTTTTTTTAAAGAACTATGTAAAATCGTATACACAATTTTCAAAATACATTGTGTATTTGTAATGCTTATTCAAGATTCAGAAATAAAGGACGAAGTACATTAGAAATTTTCCACAAAAAATAAACTCACCCGTCTCAAATCATTTCTAGACTATCGGTATAACCAACCCTCTCATATGGAATGAACTGAGATATAGTAACAGACGACAAATCTTAAAGAATGCGTAACTTAAGCGTGTCCGAGTACGAACGGAGGGAGATCATTCAAAATTGATTGGCTAAAAAATACAACAGTTAACAGTTAATAAGATACTACTGATTAGATAAAAAATTTTAATCAGCACGACTGTTACATATTTTATTTATTAGATGACAAACGGAAAACCGCAAGAAACCAATGTCAAACAAAAATATTACTAGCCTCTAATTACATGCGGAATCCTTGCAAGTCAGTACTTAAGTAGATAAATAGATACAATCTGTCTCTGTTTCTCTGAATCTTATGTAATAATATTTAAATAAAAAAAAAAAGTATTACAAAATACATTGTCGGAAACGAAGACAATTTTCAATATTAACACAGTGTATTCCTGGAAAGGTAAATATTCTTTTGGAACTTTTAATGTTCAAATTCCTAAATTCGATGTTCCGAAGATGCTATTCTAGTTTTATAGTCGTATAGTTTCATCACTTCTTACCGGTTCCTGAATAAAGGACGAAGAGGACATTCCAAACGAAAAATGGAATACATTTAGAAAAGTAGAAAGTGTGGTTATATAATTTTCTTCTAGCGCATTATTATCAAATGACTTTATAAGCTTAAAAATTCTGTTATAAATACGAAAAGTTATATTTAACAGATATTTTACAAATTTATTCTTATGAAAATTAAATATACATTTCTATATAAATATTGCGTCATTTTTATATGATAAAAGCTATATATGTTTTTTATGACACAATAATTTTTATAATTTTATATTCCCTTTACTTAGGAAAATCTTTTTAAATCATTGGAGAAAAGAAATAAAAACTTCACTTTTACGTAGTAGATATAAATAGTCGAAAGCAATTTACATTTTTAGCTTTCGTTTCCTAATAGATCAATCGCTAGATTACATTTTGAAAGTAATTCCGTAAAATATGAGTACAGGTCATTATTTTGAACTTTACACGTGACAAGGGTATTTAATCGGTGCCCGCAGGCACTCTAGTGATATTCCTCTCACGAAAAGTTACCTTCTCTGTACCTACTTCTACCTGTTTGATTGAATATCACATAGAACTGTTTACATACACAGTCTTGGACAGCTCCTTGAGTAGAGGTAGTGGGGAACGCTGTTTTCGAGTTACTAGCGTGAGGGGAATAAGTTAGCACTTTTGATCTAAGTAAGTACTTACATACCCTCTTTAAAAATAAACAACGTAGAGTTCTTTAAAGTCAGAGTAATTACAAAATGATTCTTCTATTTGTGGTGTCAAAAGTATATAATGATTATTTAGAATTTATAGATTAAGTCCACGATAAGAAATTTGATATTTTTATCTGGAAAGTTTTTTCTCAATATTAATTTGTTGCTTTCTTGGAGTTACAACATTCTACTGTAAATTCAAAATTGATAGCCGTTTTATTATTAACTTTCTACCAGTTTTTTACCTGCATTAGGTTGATAGCATTGTGTTATGTATTAGCCAATCAGCGCTAGTCTTGACACGCCCCTCGAATATTCGTTTTCGGTGACTGAATGCGGGTTAGAGGGTAAACAGTTTCGATAAATTTTTCATTGATTTCGTAATTTTTATTGATTGATGCTCTGATCGACGCTCGTAAAATTTTTCAATCATTTAAAATGGTGAGTTTAACACTCTCTAATACTTACTTTAACATTACATTTTTTTGTTAACACTATTATCAGAAATCATTGTTAAAGCTAATAATAAACAGTTTTTGTCTGAAGAAATTTTGATTTCATCGAATCTTCTACTTATGATAAAATTTCTAATAGCTGTTTAACGTGAGAAGGATTGTTTTCTCATATTTTTAAACTCCTGAAAAAAATTTTCATCTAACCTCAAATGAAATAAATGTCAAAATGGCGCTCCCCATTGACATACATTAAAATTTCGGTTTTTCGATGATTTTGAAAAGTATTTAGACCATTGAATTGATGTATATGTTTCTTATTTATTTTAACATTAATAATCATTTGAGTTATTTTAATTATATGTGAAATTGTTTGGTTATCTCGAATTAACTTTTCAGTAACATTATTACATTCATATCAAAGTCATGTAATTGAATTATTCCATGACATGAGAGTAACAAAAATATATTTTATCGAAAGTTAACTACTATAGTATGAAATTAGTCTTCATCAAAATTCAATCGAAATTATTTTAAGATACAATTTACCAAATTATAGAATATTAAGAATGAAATTAAATTTACATTTACATATTATTTTCAAAGACGGAGCAACAGATGGATTGTGCACTGGATTTGATGAGAAGGTTGCCACCACAGCAGATAGAAAAGAATTTAAGTGATTTAATAGATTTGGTGCCGACTCTCTGTGAAGATCTCTTATCCTCTGTTGATCAGCCATTGAAAATTGCAAAAGATAAAGAATCTGGGAAGGATTATTTACTTTGTGATTACAATAGAGATGGAGATTCCTATAGGTAACTAATTTTAAAGTATATTATAATGTTTCTTTTGATTATAATTAATAATATAAAATTATGTTATTGAGGTATATTAAAAACATAATTTTTAGATCTCCTTGGAGCAATACATATGATCCTCCATTAGAAGATGGTTCAATGCCTTCTGAAAGACTCAGAAAGTTGGAAATAGATGCAAATCATGCATTTGATCAATATAGGGAACTTTATTTTGAAGGTGGAGTTTCTTCTGTGTATCTTTGGGATTTGGATCATGGTTTTGCAGCAGTGATTCTTATTAAAAAAGCTGGAGATGGTTCTAAGAAAATTAAAGGTTGTTGGGATTCTATTCATGTGGTGGAAGTTCAAGAAAAATCAACTGGGAGAGCTGCACATTATAAATTAACTTCTACGGCTATGCTTTGGTTACAAACTAACAAGCATGGATCTGGAACAATGAATCTTGGAGGTAGTCTTACCAGACAGGTTCGTTTTTAATCAGTTTTGATTTCAGTATGATTAATTTTTGATTAAACATTTTTATATAATGATACGAAATTTTTCTAGTAATTAATAATGTACCATTGATTGAAACTGACAGGTTGAACAAGATGCTCTAATAAGTGAAAGCTCTCCACATATTGCTAACATTGGACGTATGGTTGAAGACATGGAAAATAAAATTCGAAATACCTTAAATGAGATATATTTTGGAAAAACGAAAGATATTGTGAATGGATTAAGGTCTGTACAATCTTTAGCCGACCAGAGACAACAAGCTGCCCTCAGACAGGATCTGGCAGCTGCACTTCAAAGGAGAAATGCTAATAATTGATCCTACGAGGAACATCAGTTATCCTCTGATTCTGAAGAGTGTCAATAAAAAGAAAAATAAGAAAGATACTAAATAATCGTAAATGATGAAATTAAGATTTGAATTGTTGCAATTACTGTGACAACAATTTTGGACAGTTTCCTGTGATATGCAGGGTGCAATAGTAAAGATGAATTTTTTCTTAAAGTATTAACCTCTTCGGTAGGCGCGTCGACTACAGTCGATAGCCATCCAATTAGTAAACATACGGCCGCGCATCAACTGCCGTTCCGAAGAGGTTAAACAATTCACACAAAAAAAATGAATAATTGAATATCAATTATTAATTATGTCGAGATTTGAAATAAAATATTAAGAGACATTACGAGTGTCTAAGTTTTATATATATAGGATGTGTTTAAAGGTATGTAACATCTTAAATTGATGTTAATTAGAAAACATTCAAATTGTATTATTTTCATAGAATGCAGTGTTTATGTTCCATGATTTTCTTTCGAAATACATATATAACAAATTCACGTACTTACACTTCATCTCATTGTGCACTCTTTTTTTGTATTATTTTTATTAATTCAATCATGCACGTATTAAATATGAATTTATAAAGCATTATTACGATGTTCCATACATTTTCATAGTTTTATGCATTGTTTATTTTTAATTTTATAAATCGCTATGTACCTTGTTGTTCTCGTTGAAAATTTGACATACGGGAACGTACAAGGCTATCATAGTATTAGTTAATGAATTTTTTAAAACGAAATAATACGATGTTATAAATCTGGTTGACCATATACGCTATATTCAGTCTGTGTAGGTTTTCAGTTACAAAAACATGTTCTTGTACTTGTATAAATGCGTCTAATTTTTGCAACAAATAAATTATAAAAGAATTAAGATTAATGCACGTATAGACACATTCTTGTTCCGTGTTACATATCTTTCGACATGTTCTACATGTGTGTATGTGTGTTTTTCGTGTGTGTATGTGATGTGTGAATGTGTGTGATAAGTGTGCAGCGCTCGTATAAGCGTGAGACAAATATATATATATATACACACATATATGTTACATATATGTATGTATATACATATACATGTAATGGCACTCGTAATGTTTTTTTAATCCTTAATAATTATTAATAATACAAAATATAAGAGTATTAATGTTTGAAAATGTAGGAATATTAAAGAGAATATTTGCGAATAAATTTCTAACAGTCTCTTTCATGACTTCCTATCCAGTTAGTTAAAGGAATTAAAAAACAAATTCGAGACATCGTAATTCTGTATAAAGTGAAAATATTCACGAACAAAATTCATTAAACAAAATAACTTAAAATACTTTTGAATTAAGTTTGTTAAAAAAAAATAATAAATATTAATGTTAAAAAACAAGTTGTGAAGTATATGAATTTTTTTATTTGTTTACTGCAATTGAATTTATTTTTTCGTTGATTATTATCAGCATTAATTTTTACGTCAATTATTCTAATAGCACTTCAGTGAAATTATAAAATTATAAATATAAAAGCACTACTAATTACAAAATTATGAATTCAATGTATATATGTATTTCTAATGTATAATTTCCAATAAAAATATTTCGATACAATTTATGTAGCATTAGTGAACGGATAAACGTAACATGAGAAACACAATTAAAAAAATAAAAAAGAATTTGCGACAAAATCATTGAAACTTAAAGTTCTTACAAAATGCTATCGTAAAAATTGAAACGAAATACTATTGAAAGTGACTTCAAAGCACCGACAGCTTTTTGTTTCCTTTATTTGTCCTCCATCAACTTCTGCCGTATAAACAAATGCTCGTTGGTATTCGTTAAGTATATATTTTACGTTTGTGTTTCCTGGTTCAAATTTTATAATTGTGTACTTTCACATATAACTATGTGTATTTTCATAAACTTTACCGCTGCGTGTACTTTGTATACGTGTGTACGTGTATAATGTATTTTTGCTTGTCCATATACACCAATGCTGGTATTTTTAAAATATCCATAAACAACCGCTTCATTTTATTGTACTTTATGCTTTTATGTCGTAATAAATATTTTATGACTTACTACATGCATATAAAATAAAAGATAATATTTCAAGAATGTCTTTAAATTAAACTGCAAATGCAAACGAATATTATTTATAAATGCTAAGCAACTTCATTTTCTTCGATTTAAATACTAAAATATATATGTCCTGTCTTAAGTAACGTATTACTAGTACATCGATATCAATAAACGATTTCTCGCTAAATTAGCTATACGTGTTAATAATACATAAAATATTTTTGAAATACCATTTCACACCTATGCTTACACCGCAAATGAATAATTTTTGTTACAATTCCGATATCAATGGTCTATATTAAGTAATCCGTTAGAATCTGAATGAATGACCAGCAGTGGTATATATTTTATTAAACAAAGTATTGAGAAGCAGAAAAGAATGGTTTCCGTCTCTCGTAGTTGAAATTCGACCATGA